TATGAGCCACCACGCCCAGCTTTAACACAGAAATGTTAACTGCTGGAAGTAGTTTTTTTTAAAAAAAAAAACGTTTAGAAAATCTTTTTTCCTTTCCTTTTTTATTTCATATTTTTCAATTTTTTTCATAATATTTAAATTTTTCGATGTTTAGACATTTTTCTTCAGTGAAGCATGAGTTTCTCTTCCTGGTCCCTGATCACTTTAAACAGTTGGAACACCAGTGGCACTGTTAACTGCTTTCTGGGCAGCTTCTTTAGCTTGGTGAGCTTGTAGTACAGCTACAGCTTCATCAACCTTCCAGCAGAGAGACTCTGGAGACTCAAGCATGTGAAGTAATTCTGAGTTATCAATCTCCAACAGCATGCCAGTGATTTTACCAGCAGAGTAGGGTACATGGCTTGAATGAGAGGAAACAGCCATTCACCCAACATTTGCTTTTGCTGGGCGGGGGCAGATGCCAACATGGAAGGAGTTAACGGTTCTTGACTTTGTATGTGAACAGCAGGCTGTTGCATGGTGACTTGTGGCTGTGGATTAAGATGTTGCTGGGGACTGCAGACTCCCGCAGCATATTTATGCTGGGGAATGGTGCGGACAGCAGGAGTAGCTGCAGTAGCAGCTGCTGCAGGGTGTGGACCCCATCGTCTGTGTTGATGTGTTAGCAACACGCTGTGTTGACATGACTGTGGAACCTGTGAGGAATTTGGTCTCATAGTACTAAATGGTGGTCTAGGAGCAGCTGGGCAGATAGCACCGGGCATATTTTAGAATGGATGAGGTCTGGCATCCTGAGCAGTACAGCGAGGACTTGGTCTTAGTTGAGCAATTTGGCTAGGAGGATAGTATGCAGCACCGTTCTGTGTCTGGGGGACAGCTGCCATGAAGTAACCTGAAGGAGGAGCTAGCTGGTAGGGGCTGATCACGGGGTTGGGCACAGCTTGGGCACAGCTTGGACACTCGCCATTCTCTGCATGTACTGGTTAGTGAGGTGAGCCTGGTGCTCTTCCTTGCGCTGAGCTAAAGCTACAAACAGTGGCTTGGTGGCCACAATTCTACCATTCATTTCTGTAACTGCTTTAGTGGCTTCTTCTGGGGAGGAGAAACACACAAAACCAAATCCTTTGCTGCGACCACCCTCCATCATAACCTTTGCACTAGTGATTGCACCAAATGGAGGAAACTTTTTCTGGATACGTTCACCATCAATACCATCATCAAGATTTTTCACATAAAGGTTAACACCCTGGTGTCTGGTGATCCTATCTTTGCTTCATCTGTTCAAATTTGTGCTCAAGTTCCGGCTGGTGTTCCACTTTTTTCTGAGCCGACCAACATAAATTTGTTTCCCATTGAGCTCCTTTCCACTCATCTCAACCACAGCTTTCTGTGCACGTCATGCCTTTCAAAGCTTACAAATCCAAATCCCTTGGATTTTCCACTTTCATCAGTCATTACTTTCACACTTAAGGCAGGCCCAAACTTGCCAAAGAGATCCTTAAGGCGCTCATCATCCATGTCTTCTCCGAAGTTTTCGATGTAAACGTCGGTGGACTCTTTTGCCCCAGCTCCAAGCTCTGCTTCCCGTTCCTTACGAGACTTAAATCGTCCAACAAATACTTTGCGATCATTTAGAAACATTCCATTCATTTTAAAAATAGCTCTTTCAGCTGCTTCCTGTGTCTCAAAACGTACAAACCCGTAGCCCTTGGAGCCATTTTCATCACACTCAACCTTACGTGAAAGGATGTTACCAAATGTAGAAAATGTGTCATACAGGGCTTTATTGTCAAGGGGTTTGTCCAAAGTTTCAATGAATATGTTCCCTACTCCACTTCTGCGAAGTGATGGATCACTCAGACCACATGATGCGAACTGGCTTGCCCTTTGTAACATCAAAATTCATGGCGTCTGAAGCACACTCCACGTCTGCCGGCTGCTGGAAGTTCACATACTGGAAGTTCACATACTGGAAATTCACATAGCCCAAGGAGCGGCGGGTGATCATGTCCCTGCAGACCGGGATGAGAGGATGGGCGCGGTCCGGCTGAACTTCTCGTAGAGCATCGCCTCGGTCACTTCGGGGTGGAGGTCCCCCAGGTAGAGCGAGGCGGTGGGGTAGCTGGGAGCGCTGGGGTTCATCTCGGCACGGCTGCCCGCGGGGCCACAGGCCGCGACCTTTTCCGTGAGAGGAGGAGAGCGAGTGCCAGAATCTACAACTGCTCAACGGAGGTGGAACCGGGACGGCGGAAGACCGCTGGGAACCAGGAGGGCGGTGTTGGCTCCAGGCGGCGAGAAGGGTCGGTCTCAGCTGCTTCAACGGGTCATTTTATAAAAGATGAAGAAAAAAAAAAGTCTCCGGCGGGGGAGACGCGGATTTTTTGTAAATTTTTGGGGGGTTTTTTAAGATTTTTTTTTTTTGATTTTTAAAAATAATCAATGTGTGTTACGAGCCCGGAGCACACACTCAGCACTAACCGCCCGAAGGAGAAGCACCGCCTCCTTTACTTACATGCCCCAGCCCCGTTTTTAAAAGTTTTTATTTATTATTTTTATTTTATGTGTATGCGTGTATTGCCTGTACATGTAGGTAAGTGCACCCGTGTTGTGCAATGCCCGCGGTGGTCAGAAGAGGCTGTGTGATACTCTGAGACTGGAGTTACAGACAGTTGTAAGCTGCCATGTGGGTGCTGGGATTTGAACCCGGGTCTTCTGCAAGAACAGCCCAGTGTTCTTAACCACTGAGCCATCTCTCCAGCCCCATTTTTTTTAAAATTATGTTTTCAGAGGCTGGAGAGATGGCTCAGTGGTTAAGAGCACTGATTGCTCTTGCAAAGAACCTGGGTTCAGGTCTCAGTACCCATGTGGCAGATCACAACCATCCCTAACTCCAGTTCCAGGGGATCTGACACCCTCTTCTGACCTCCTCTGGCATTGCACAACAGGGGCACATTTACACACATGCAGGCAATACACCCCTACCTACACAGAAAATAGAATTAATAAATAAAATATTTTTAAAATCATATTTTTTTCTGTTTTATTGATTGGGTGTGCACATGTGTGTGAGTTGTGTGTGTGTGTATGTGTGAACACATATGCCACAGTGTTTGTGTGACAGTCAGAGGACAACTTGTGGGGGTCAATTATCTCCTTCAACTGTGTGGGTTCCAGGGATCAAACTCAGATCATCCAGCTTGGTGGAAAGCACTTCTACCTGTTGAGCTATCTTGCCAGTCCTGGAAGCAGTTTTTGACTCAAAGGCTGAAGGACCAAAGGGAAGAAGGAAGGTGGCTGTATGAGCACCTAGCAGCATGAATAAGGGCCATACAAACGTGGGAGGAAAGTTCTACCCTAATGTTGCTGGAACAAGCTGTCTCTGAGGACTTCTCTGTAGATCTGGAGCTCTCACCTTGAAGAGGGGCAGCAGACAGCTGACACTAGCTCCTCTGTCTAAAGGCACACGATGAAGACCAAGTTGGTAATGCAATTAAAAAAAAAAAAAAGATTAAAAGCCAGGCGTGGTGCCTCAAGCCTGTAATTCCAGTCACTTGGGAGGCTGAGGCAGGAAGATCACTTGAGAGTTCAAGGTCAGCCTGGGCAACATGGAGAGACCCCTGTCTCAAAAACCAAAACAAAAAGATTAGAAGGGACTGCTGGCTCCAGGGTGAGGGGCCCTTGCTGAGATGGCACCTGTAAGGACAAGATCAAGTCCTGTCTTCCTCCCTCTACTGTCTTCAATTGCTCCCTACAGGCAGAGCCTGACAGGAACACGAAGCAGGCTTTGTAAAGTTGCAGCCCCTGCCTCCTAGAGCCAGTCTAGGCTGGCAGGTTTTAGGCCAGCACAATAATTTAAGATTTAATAGCTTAATTTTTTTATTATTAGAAGTAAAGGATAGTGTGGTAAACACTTTACCCACAGAGCTATTGCTAGTGCCTAATGTAGGACTTTGAAGCCATGCTAAGAATCGTGGAGTGTGGGGAAATTATAATTTACTCACATATTTTAAAGTATTTTATTCATTATTTTTATTACATGTGTATGAATATATTGCCTGCATGTATGTAAGTGCACCCATGTTGTGCAATGCACACAGAGTTCAGAAGAGGGCATCAGATCCCCTGGAACTGGAGTTATGGATGGTTGTTAACTGCCGTGTGGGTGCTGGGAATCAAACCCAGGTCCTCTGCAAAAACAGCAGTGCTCTTAACCACTGAGCCATCTCTCCAGCCCCTTATTTATATTTTTAATATAATTTTTTTATTAATTCTTTGAGTACTTCATACATGCATACAATGTATTTTAATCATATCTACCCCGACACCTCCCAGGTCCATCCCCCACATCCCTGCTTCCTTCCAACTTCGCATCCTCTTTTCTCTATTATAATCCATTGAGTCCAATTTGTGTTGCCCATATACTTACAGGTGTGGGGTCATCCACTGGAAAATGCTGTACCTACCAGAGGCCATATCCTTAAAGAAATGGACTCTCTGTTCCCCAGCAGCCATCAACTGTCAGTAGCTCCTTAGCTAGACGTGGGGCTCATAAGACGCTCTTCCCCCCAGAGGATTTTAAGTTGAGTTTTAACAAAGGCTGATATATACTTCAAGTGATATTCTCCTGGCTGTTGTAGGATTTATTCTTGCTAGCCCTTGAGTGGACGAAGGGAGTATGTCAGCTCAAGAGTGTGTGGTCTGTGCTGTGGGCGTGGTGGCATCAGATAGTGGCTGCATATGAGGAAGGCTCAGGGCAGACTGTACCCGTGGGCAGCATGTGTCCCAGCTGATTAGAGGGAGCAGAGATCTAGAGCTTTTGTCCATTGTCTTGTACCTCATCAGACATAAGACTGTTCGTGGGCTTCCAGGAGTCATGCAGACCTTAGTGTTAACTCTGACTGTGCTATTGCTGCTGTCCCAGGCTGTTCCAGGTAATGTAGACCTCCAGGGGTGGGACAGAGATTGGAGAATGGGTGTGATCAGGGCTCTTTGGGCTTGGCTGGATGGCCGGATGGGTAACAATAAGGACCACTGTCTGGGGGCAGAGAGAAGAGTCTTGGGTCTTGGGTCAGAGTCTGCAAGCCACTCAGCTCATCTGAGTTTCCATTTACTAATTTCTTAATTTTTAACAACAAATTAGGTTGAAGGCTCAGCATTGGGTACACTGAAATTTTGTTCTACAACAGAAATGGTTTGTTCTCTGTAATTCACCTAACAGCTCCCCGAAGCTTCCATCCTGCTGGTAGGAAAGCTGGGTGTTAGGAGGCACAGGGGCTACACATAAACTCAGAACACTGTTGCATCCATTTTTTTTTTTTGATTCCTGAGATGATTCTGATCTGGAGAAGTGGCTCTACTTTAATTCCATCCCCTTCTTCCCACGACAGCAGCTGGGTTTAGGGGACAGTGAAAATATTACACTTAGCTCAATAGTCTTCATTTTAGACTCATTGTTCTAAGCCATAAATGAAATCTGTTGCTCTCCATTGTCCCTATTGAAATACAATTTCCTAGTCCTGGGCAGTGGGGGCCTCTTTGATCTGAAGTATGATTCTTCCTGTTCTATTCCTACTGGTCTTTGAGGGCTTCCTTGGTATCTGGTGTGATAGAATGCTTCAGGCTTGTTTTGTAATTTCTTGCCTAAACTTGTTGCCTAGATTCCAATTTCTAAGAACTGGATACTGATTTCTACTGGTTTATCATTGTTTCTAAGCTTTTGCACCTGTCAATTCCTATAGGTACTTCCAATTCAAACCTACAACCAACATCTATATCACATTAAATTGCTTTTTCTTATGTGAGGATACTGGTTCTCAAAGTCCTAGGGGATACTTTTTTTCTTTTTGCAATGGTGGGGATCGAATTTAGGTCCCTACCAGTAATTCTCAGCTAGAAAGGCTTGGTTCTCCTTGGGGGTGGCTTCCTCCAAATGTGAAGGCTCCAATATTGCTTAGCTCATGAACTTGCAACTTGGGCACTTGTCAGTGCTTCCCTGGTAGCAAGAGCATCTGGCGTGGTATGCAGTTCATCAATGTTTCAATGTTTTCATGCTGTCTGAACTGGGACCCAGTAAGATTCTTATTCAACCTCAAGCAGGGCTTGAGTCCTCTACCCAGACTGGTTCCAGACTTTGTACTATGAAGATTATAGTGTAATACCAAGCAAGAAAAGACATGTAGTTTTGCGTTGAATCAAGACTCCTTTGTTACCCCACTGGTTAGAGAGAGGACTCATGCCCAAAAGGACTCTTAACCCTGAGGGGAGGCAGAGTGGGGTTTATAAAGCTTAAAACCACAGTTACATCATGCCAGGGTCAAAGACAATAACCATAGTTACCTTAGATCACCATAGTTATACCAGACCAGGGGCAGGTCAGTTAAAAAAGAGGTTTTAGGAAACAGGCCTTAATAAGGGAGATATGGATAAAAATTGGGTTAGTTTAAGGGAGGGGGGGGGGAAGGGTATACAAGGAACCTAGGGGATAAAGGGAAAGAAGGAGCGCAAGAGAAGAAGGATCATAGGAGAAGGGTATTAGTAAGGGAGAAAGGGGGGAAATGGTGGGACCTTAAGTGGGAAAACCATGATGGAGGGGGGTGAGACAATGTGAGAGATAAACAATGCCTAGCTAATTTTGAAAACCAGAGGGAACCATATTACTCCTACACCCTACTGACAAATTATACATAGCAGATCAAGAAATATATGTCTAGGTAAGGTTTATCTGAGAACAACTAGTCTTTGCCCAAGATTTATCTACATGACACATAGTAATTGGTGTCATGACACCAGACTGGTGGAACTAACCTTCTTGGGTATTTAACAGACATACTTTG